ACCCCACATTTTATTTTCCTTCATACCCAAGCAAGAGGTGTCTTCACTTCGGAAACTTTGGTTTTGGCCTTTTTACCCTTTTCCTCGGTGATTGCACTTTCTTGATGATTAGGTAGAGGGTTATGTGCAACGTGGGGTGATTCTGAATTGTTAAAATGAATCCAACCCCTGTTGCGCATCCTTTAGATAACCCTCTTAAATGGGAGGCAATTTTCAATAACATGCCCTGGAACACCGCCATGATATTCACAGTGCGCATTTTTTGTTATACCACCTGGGGTATGGGGGCTTTAAAGGTATCTCGGGATAGGGTGACACCACATATGCGTCAAATAATTGTTGGTAGAGCTCCTTATATGTCATGGGAATGAGATCGAAATGCTCATTTTCTCTCCTTGGTTCTTGCCTAGAAGAGGGTACAATTGCAAACGATTTTAAAATGTTGATGATCTCTCCTTTTTTCTTCTTCAGATGAGGATTTACACTCGTCCTACCTCCTGGTTTAACGGTAATTTCTACCCTCGTTGTTTTAACCTCTTCATCAAATTTCGGAATGCGGTAATTATCTGAATTATCTTGAAGTACTGATAAGATTCTGGGTGAGACAACCACTTGCGGGGTAGGTGGCATGGTTACCCATTCCGATGAGCCTGCCCCAGAGCACTTGTCTAACGTAGGCCAGCTAACTTGGCAACGATCTGATCGACCAAGGACTCTTGGCCTTTAGTGATTGCATCCAGGGTACTCTGGCCTGATTTATCTTTTCTTCTAATTCTCTCTGGAGCTTCAACATGTTCTCTTTGATCTGAGTAATTATGGCTTCTATCTTCTTTTCGGTTTGAATGAGGATGACATGTGTCCGAAGCTTGTGAAGGTATGTCCAGTGTTTGTACCCTTCCGTTATGAAAATCTCTTGTTAGTTCGTGTGAATGCAATGAAAAAAAAAGAAAATTATACGAAATATGCAAGAATGCATGATGCATGAAATGTTCGAGGCATTGATCCAAAAAATGTGCATGTTATTCTTAAAAATCCTTATTGGGGACAAAAGTGTTTTATCTTTTAAGAGACAAAAATATCCTGACAGCTTCTGACATGTTAACCAGTCTTCTGCCTTTGTCTGTCACCGGTTGAATAACCTGTCAAACTGCTCTGGCTTCTCTGGACGAATCGTGCAAATATTGAGTTGCTTTTTGTACTGGCCCACGAAGTCTCGAATGATTGCATCTGGCATTTATCTTTTGTTGAACCTGTTCCCAATGAATATGTCACTGGAGCCCTCAATTGATAGGAACTATGTGAAGTTCATTTGCCTGTTTCTTGAATTCATCAGTAATGGTCTCCAATTTCAGCTATCATTTTGCCATTATTGTCTTTGAAGAGACTCCTGAGATCAGTAACCTTCATTTTCCCCTGCAACTTATGCCAGTCAGTTCTTCAAAGATAGACTTTCATCGTGCGTGATGTAGACCCGGCTCATTCCGAGTCCTTTATAATACAGCAGAGTGATATACTCTTCAATTGTGGGCGCCACGTCTTCTGGATTGAATATGACACATAGTCTCTTTGTATACTATCCTATGTATTTTCATCTCTTGTAATACAACCCCTTTGTCCATTAATGCAGATTATTCATGTTTAACAAACATATTTTTGGTAGATCAACACCTCTTTTAAATGATGCAAGTGATGGAAATAAAAAATAAAATAAAATAAAAGAGTTAGTGAGGTGAAAATAATAAAAAATAATCATGAAAAAATAAAAGTCCTACCCCACATGATGTTTACCCCACATGCTTTAATTCCTACCCAGACATGATCTTTATCACACATGCTAATTTCAAACAAATCCCAACTGCATATTTGTCTAGTTTGCATGCTTTGAACAGAAAGTAAAGCAGGAAACAAAACAACCTAGGGTTTGAATGAGGTTTTGGGGTGGGCTTTAATTCCTCATACTCTCCCGGTTTAGGTTATAAAAAGGTACTCGAGTTCTCCTTGCTGGTGCCCCCTTGGGCCTGCCAAACCCTTAGTCCTAAGCCTATTACAAGCTTGTGTGGACTAAGTTAGACTCGAGAGGACACATTCCCTTATGCCCGCACGGTGAATAAATTCACACGAAGACATAAGGTATATGAATCCTGAAGGCTACTTGTTAGGCCTGTGCGGGGAATAAATTCTCACGAAGGTGCCGCTTTTACCCCCACTTAAAAGGGTTTGGAGCTCGGGTATAGAGCCAGAGATGAAAACTTTGAAAATCTGAAATCATTGAAAAAAAACGTCAGTACAATTATTTACTTGAAAAATCATCAACGGTAAATAATTTGAATCGAATAAATAAATCGAAACTTAAATTTGTAATTTTTGCTCAAAAAGACAACCAAAAATTAATTTCGGCCTGTCTCACTTACCTGTCCCCAGTAGAGTCGCCAAGCTGTCGGAACCGTCTTTCGGGTGGGCTCGAAATTGGGCTTCGACTTGGATTAAATGGTTTGGAGTCGCCACCGACCATTTAAAATGAATTTAGGTGGCTAGGATACCATCTTACCTGATATACGTTGTACCAGAAACGTGTCGGGTTCGGAGTCAGTTACGGTCAAGGAAGGATTAACACCCTTGTACCGCCCTTTCGGTACCAATTAATTTGTAGGTTGTCTTTAATTACAAAAATTGAAAATTTAAATTGAAATTTAAAAATTCGGTTTGAATTGCTTACCTTTGGTCAATTGGAATTTTTCTAAAAAAAAGGGTCAAAAAATGTTAGAGAAAAAAAACTAGTAAATAAATATTAAGTAATTCCAAGAACAAAACAAAAGAGAAATAACAATAAATAAATATAACACCAAAATAATAAATCAAAGAAAGAATAAATAAAAAATGAATAAAAAAAGTCAAAAAAGGGAAAAAGAATTTTGAATAAATAGAAAATTAAAGAGAGGGCAAAAAAATAGGGAAAATGAAAATAGAATGAATAAAAAGAATGAATAAAACAAAAACGTTAAATATTAAAGAATAAAATAAAAAAAATTATTAAAATAACAAAAAGAAAAAAAAAGAAAAATAATAATAAACAAAAAAGGACCAAAATGAAGAAATAATAAATCTGATATCCAAATTAAATCATTGAATTCAATGGCCAAAATATACGAGATGTAGCTTACAAGGACTGCAGGTGTAGTATGCCGACGCGAGAAATCACGCAAATGCCCCCTACTGAAACTACGTCGTTTCACTAATTGTATAAAAAGCCCATATGAGAGGCATATATCACACAACTCTCTCATTTTACTATTCCCCTCTCTCTCTACAAGAAAATACTCTCACTTCTCTCTATGGCCATCCCACCGATGGGAAGCCGGTTGCTCGACGCCGTCGTCCACAACCACCGACGACTGAAAAAACTTAAACCCTTCAAAATACTCCTCTCCAAATCGTGAACCCAAATCCGCCCCCTAAATCACCAAAACCAAACGCAGTAAACGTAGATCTAAAAAAACCTTCGTCACCTACCATTCTCCGGCGACCTTTCCGCTTCCGATGGCCCTTCGTGGCTTAGATTGGGGCTTCTTGCTTTTGTTTTTGTTACTTGGTTGATGTTTGGTTTATTTTGTGTTTCTCTGATTTGTGTATAATGTTGTATGTTGGGATTTTTTTGGCCGTTGGTTTGTTGTGGTTTACTGCTTTGTTCTCGTGGCTCACTGTTGATGACGTTCCATGGTTCTTTTGTCTCTGTGATGGTTGGCTTACTGTGTTTTTATGTCCCCCGTTGATGGTCCTTGGTTCTCTGTGTTTGAGGGTATTTATACCCTCTCGGCCGGTGAACGTTGTCGAACCTCACAGGATGGGTCAGTCCCGTTTGGTGGCGATTTTCAGTCTGTGAGAGACTGGGCTGTTGTGACTCGATTCTTGCGAGATTTCTCGCTTCGAGCACCGGGGATCCCAGTCGATGGACGTTTGGTCGTTCTGTGCATAACTCCTCCCATACGGCGCTTCTCTGCTTGGATGAGTAAACCCTAATTTAAGGATTAGGCTGAGTCAGGCCCAACCCTAATTGGGTATCTGGACCCACATACATTACCTCAACTTTGGACCTAAAAAAAGAAGAAAAATGACAAGTAAATAATAAAATAAAACAAAACAATAATATTAATAAAAATGAATATAATAACATATATATATACCCTAATTGGGTATCTGGACCCGCATACATTACCTCAACTTTGTACCTAAAAAAAAGAAGAAAAACGACAAGTAAATAATAAAACAAAACAAAATAATAATAAAAATAAAAATGAATATAATAATATATATATATATATAGTATAAAAAATTATTTTAAAACTACATAATATATATTAAAATATTTTCAAAATCATATATTATATATATTTTAAAATATTTTCAAAACTATATATTATATATAGTTTTCAAAATGTTTTAAAAAACTATATATTATATATTTTTAAAATGATTTTTTCAAAACCTATATATATATTATATATATTTTCTAAAATGTTTTAAAAACTATATATTATATAATTTTCAAAAACGTTTTAAAAATTATATAATATACATATTTTCAAAAATGATTTAAAAACTATATATTGTATACGCATTTTCAAAAACCATTTGCAAACTATATAATATATAAATATATAAATATATATATGTATAAAAATATGGACGAAAATTAGTGTCTACAATTATCAAGTTCTTTAGAGTGACTGGTAAAGATGGCTGGATTTCTCTCGGAGGGATTCTTCTTTAAGTGACTGGTAAAAGACTAAATCATGGATTTTATTTTAACCGACTTAGATAGTTGTTGATTTGAATTAGCATTCATATGCAATTTTTGGGTCTCACCAGGCACTGAAGCTATGTTTGCAGACGTTGGTCATTTCACTTCCTTATGAATTAGAGTAATTCCTTCTTTGTTCATCTTATTTTTTTCACTCCTGACATGCGAAAGTAAACTATGGATTTATGCCTTGCCATATAAGCCTAATCCCCTTGCCATCTTAATCCACGTCTGTGGAACTTAATAGTGAACTTTTGTTTGATTGATGTATTAGAGACTTGATAATTTTCCTGATTGTGCTGCTTGCATTTGCATTTGTAGTATACCCATGTTTGGTTGTTCAATACATGGGTCAAGCTTCCTTCTTGTCAAGAAACCTTCAAAAGATTCCCAACAGTTTTTATGACTCAATTCCTGGTTAGTGCAATCTGACATAAACTGTTTTGCTTCTAAACATTGTTATATTATTTGTATAATTTATCATTGTATCATTGCAGGTTCTGTTTATTGGCCTGTCTTTGTAATTGCTACCCTTGCAGCTATTGTTGGGAGTCAGGCTATTATAACTGCCACGTTTTCTATAATAAAACAATGCCATGCCCTTGGATGCTTCCCTCGAGTTAAAGTTGTTCACACCTCAAAACATATATTTGGCCAGATCTACATCCCAGAAATAAATTGGATACTCATGATACTTACTCTTGCCATAACTATTGATTCCAAGACACAACTTTAATTGGAAATGCTTATGGTAATTCATTCTATGATAACTCTCCCTTTCTCCTCAATATTCTTGACAAAAATACGATTAAATAATTAGTAAATTTGTGAACTAACGTTTTGGTAAGTTTATTATTATGGATTAAATTGAGTGTGAGTACTGATAGTGATCACATAGTTCAGATTCTAGAGATAGTTACTAACTTGCATTGAATGTTGTACTTTTCTTTAGACATGATGTTTCTTATTTGATCTTGGTTTTCAGGACTTGCATGCATCACGGTGATGTTCACTACAACATTTCTCATGGCTCTTGTGGTGATCTTTTTTTGGCAGATAAGTGTTTGGCTTGCTGTAGTGTTCCTTGCATTCTTCTGGCTCTGTGAAGGGGTTTACTTATCAGCAGCACTCATGAAAGTGCCTCATGGTGGATGGGTGCCTCTTGTGCTGTCAGTCATCTTTATGATGGTTATGTGCATATGGCGCTATGGGATTCGCAAGAAGTAAATTTTGTCATGCACAACAAAGTATCACTGAGAGGTTGCTTGGGTTGGATCCTAGACTTGGTCTCATGCGTGTGCCTGGGATAGGCCTCATTTACTCGGAACTGGCGACAGGAGTCCCAGCAAATTTCTCCCACTTTGTCACAAACCTGCCAGCTTTCCATAAGGTTTCAGTTTTCATTTGCGTGAAATCAGTTCCAGTCCCATGTGTTTCACCAGAAGAACGCTTTCTTATTGGCCGGGTATGCCCCCAGGCCATATCGTATGTACAGGTGTATTGTCAGGTATGGGTACAAAGATATCCAGCGAGATGATGGTGATTTTGAGGACAAGATTGTACAAAGCACAGCAGAGTTCATCCAGATGGAAGCTGGACAACCACAAGTTTCCAGTTCCGAGAGTTCATCATATGATGGCAGGCTGGCTGTTATAGGTAGCAGAACCATCCAATCAAGCTCGAGTTTAATAGTTTCCGAGAACGAGGATTGCTACGATATAGAGTCCATACAAACAAGCAAATCCAAACGTTACAGAGCTTGAGAAGTGCTCATCCTGATGATAAGAGTCAAGCAGTGAGGAGGAGGCGTGCGAGGTTCGAAGTAGCATTGAGTCCGGGTATGGATACGGGTGTGAGGGGAGAGCTGATGAATTTGATAGCGGCAAAGGAAGCAGAGGTTGCGTACATAATGGGACATTCGTATGTGAAGGCCAGGAAAAGTTCATCATATATGAAAAAGGTGGTGATAGATATGGGGTATTCGTTCCTTGGAAAGAACTGCAGGGGGCCTGCGGCAGCACTAAACATTCCTCACACCAATCTGATTGAAGTTGGAATGATATATTATGTGTAGTTAAAGTTGTTAAAAAAACAGGAACTGTTGGCTGACAATATTATTATTATTATTATTATTATTATAATATTATTATTATTATTATTATTATTACCTTTAAAAATTTAGTTTGAAAATGTAAAATATTCATTATAGACATTATGTTGTAAATTAAAAATATAAAAAATAATAATAAAAGTATGTTTTATCATAACTCACTATTAATATTTTGATAAATAAATCATGAATTTTATTTATTTTTAAGTAATTAAAATAATTTATCAAGTTTTAAATTATTTTTTAAAGATGTTAGTAATAAATTATTAAAATAAAATGTAAATACATAATTGAGAGGGTCTATGAATTAGGAAGGATAAAATTATAATTTGGTTCCAAATGCAAAGTTGAAAATAAAAAAATTAGAAATCATAGCTTTTGCAGTTGGTTTGAAACCCCTTTTCCACCGTAACATTTTTTTCATTTTTACCTGTTTGACACTAATTTTACAGTTAAAATGAAATTTTTAACTAAAAGTGATTTTAGAAATCATTACCGACCCGTTTGACAGGAACTTTTTAATTTTTAATGGGTTTGGGGCTGTTGGGAAATTGTTTTTTAGCTTGGGGTTCATGTTAATGGGAAAAGTTGACACATTTGGAGGTGAATTTATTATGAACCTGGAAAATTATGATTTTCCTTTTGTTCATTTGTTTTCAGCTGCCTTTTATTTTTCTGCTATTTCAATTTGTGAGTGTGGTTAATAAGGAAATTAGGATTAAATTAATAGAATTTATAAATTTTGGAGACTAAAAGTGTTATTATACCAGGTGAAATTAGACTTATATTTTGATTTATGACAAAGTGATTTGTTTGTAATAATATTTTAATTTAATGGCTAAATTATATATTTTTAAAAACATGACTTGTTTGTCTATGAACTAATAATTGAGTGGTTTAGAATGTAGTTTACCCTAAAAATAAGGTTGAAAAAGTAATTTTTTAATAAAAAATTAAAAAGTATATTTCAAATTAGATTAAAAAACTAAAACATTTTTAATATAAAATTATTAAAAATATTATTTAAATACCATTTAATTTGTATTTTTACTTTTAATATCATATTTAAAATAAATATTTTAAGATACTCGACACTTTTCAAAACAATGGGTAAAATACACAAATGGTTCTTCAACTATAATATCTTATTTCGTTGAGTCGTCTAACTATTAAAAATTACGAAAATGTTCTTTAATAACTGTAGGACATTGTTTTGTTGAGTTTCTCGAATATTAAAAGTTATAAAATGATCACTTGACTATTCATATGTTTCAAACTCGATATTTTTTGTTAAAAAATTGACAACAATATGAGCTGAATGTTAACCTACCGACTGTGATATGATGAAATCTAATCCTAAAATTTCAAACGACTTTTATATCACAGTCAATAGGTTAATATTCAGCTCAGATGACATCAAATTTTTAACAAAAAATGATGAGTTTGAAACATATGAATAGTCAGATAACAATTCTGTAAGTTTTAATAGTTGAGTGACTCAACAAAGCAACAACATATAACCGAATGATCATTTTATAACTTTTAATAGTTAGAAGACTAAAAAAACACTATAATCGGGGACCATTTCTGTACTTCACCCACAAAAATATTTCCTATAAAATCTCTTTTCCAAAACCTAACTAGGAGAAAGAACTAGCCCTTATAGTAAACTAAACTCCGAAGCCTAATTACTGTGTTTCCAAAAGAAACTGAACAATGTTTACCAAAAATGACAAATGCCTTGCTGGAAAATTTTTAAGGATAAATTATATATTTAGTACATAAACTATTAATTTTGATCTCGTTTAGTATATAAACTTTCAATTTTTTTAAAATCATACCTAAAGTTTTTTTTTCATTTTAATACATCGTCTAAAAATTTAACGCGTTTAGTACCTAAACTATTAGTATTGATCCGTTTTAGTACCTAAATTTTTATTTTTTTTCAAAACTTAAGTATGATTTAGGTACTAAACATGTTTTGGTATCTAGACTTTCATTTTTTCCAAAACTTAACGGCCATGTATTAAAATAAAATAAAAACTAAACTTTAGGTATGATTTTAAAAAAAATGATAGTTCAAGTATTAAAACGGATTAAAATTGATAGTTTAGATACTGAATGTGTAGTTTACCTTTTTTAAAAACTTAACCCAGAATTGAAAAGTAAGTCAATGAACGGTTTATATATCTGATTCGAATGAGGAAATAATAAGAAAAACAAAATACAGAGAAGTAATTGCTGAGACAACAAATTCGGCTCTGGTATATATCACTATTCAACATATCAACCTATCTTCTTCAATGATCAAATTCATCTCTTTCTTTATTCCCTTTACTCAGCACGCGTGTTTGTATAGTTCATATCCTCGTCAACAACAAACCCTGAAGAGCCATGTTTATGGCTGCAACAATTATGGTGCTGCTGTGTGATGGGAACAATGGGAATGCAGAATTTTCAACTGAGGTTTTAGAATTCGGAGAACCTGAAAAGAAGAGATAAAACTCTAGTTATACAACATGCGTGTGCCGCGAATAAAATATCATTGTGATTTTCACGAATAGGTGGCTACAATATTTTTTGAATAATCTCGGTGTCTAACGTTACAAACGTTACCACTTTATGTGTCCGGGACGTAAACACTGTTAATTTCCTGTGTTAAGTGATACGTGTCACGTTATAGTAATTTTAAAAATTCTATTTAAAAATTAAAATTATATTTTAAAAAAATACACAAAAACTTCAAAATAACCCCAAAACTTTAAAAACTTTTATTTCAATCCCTAAACTCACGTCGGCCGCCACCCTTTGCCGTTGACGAAGCTCCACCCGACCTCACCTACACCCCGACGATCAATTCCCCTATGAAATCACGATCGTTCGATGATCAATCGACATTTTTTACACCACGAACCTTAGGATAAAAATCGTGATCCATGCGATTCCAGATGATTAGGAGGATGGCAAGGATTAGTCAACAACAGTGGTCGTAGCTGGAAAGGGTGGCGATGGTGGGTTAATTAGGGTTAGGATTTTTATGATTTTTTTTTGTAATTTAAGAGAAATTAGGTTTTTTATAAATATAATAATATTTTTAATTTTAAAAATTCAAAATTACCAGAATATGATATTTGTCATTTAATGGATAAAACTAACGACAGTTACGGCCCAGACACCTAAAGTGGTAACGTTTGTAACATTTTGCACCTAGATTATTCAAAAGATACTGTACACATCTACTCGTGAAAAGTGATATATTTTGGTCACTTATTTTATATTTAAGCCTAAAAGAAAATACAAACCTGAAAGACAAACAAGTGGATTAACGTGCTGGCCGCAGCGTCCGGGCAACTGTTGAGCTTGTGTCACATTGATACCCGCTCGCTCAGCTTCTCTGCTGCTCCTGTTGCTCATCATACGGCACAAGCATTCGGGTTGGGATTTAATCACATATTTGAGAGGATCACAACAACTATCCGGCACATCTGCATCGTCGTTTCCATTAAGATAATTCAGGCAAGGAGCAAGCTGGTTTATGCATGAGGATCCGGTGGGGCTCCGCTGCCTCTGACTGCATCCCACCGCCGCCAAATTCGCCACGATCACTAGTATGGTTACAACGTAAATCCTGAACTGCTTCATTTTGATCTTGGTTATTTTTCCTTCGATTTGGCAACACTGTTAGACATATATATATAATAACACTAAAGTTTGGAAGTTGGTGATCTAACATGTGCCATGCAATTAGTTGACTCTTACGTAAGTTGGACTTTGGGTATTGGTTACCAAGTGCTGCTTCATTTGAGGTTGAAGAGGGCGGGGCGGCGGTGGCCGTTGGAAAGGTACAGCTAATTTCAAACCACTAGAAACTTCATTTATGGTAAGTAAACCATACATCAGATGAACCCAAATGTGTGTTTGGTGTTGTTGGTGGCTCCGCCTGAGCGCATGGATGGACCTAAAGGGCTTAGGATCAGGTGATTGTCTCTTAAATTTTTTAAATTCTTATATAATTTAGATATGTTCTTTGTACTTTCGGTTGAAAATCTATTTTTGTCACCTCTAAAATTTATAAATTCGTCTCCCCTTTAAAATTTTATAGATTCGACATTTCTAACATGAAATCATGCGTCCTCCCGCCTGAGCGGGCAAATACCAGTTGGTTGGTTCCCGTTCCATTGCCAAATTTGGAGACTGGTCAACGTTGAAGTCCTCATAATATTAATTAATTAATGACCATTGTATTTTATTTAGCTCTGAATGCAACTTTATATTAATTTAATGATAAGGTCTCCAATCCATCCCTGCTTAGTACGTTAATAAGGACTATGAGTATATACTCTATATCAAAATGGTCCTTAAAATATGTGTATTCAGATTTTTAAAAATGGAATCTGATTTTGGAAGTAAACCGTGGTCGTCCTCGATCATTTTTCTAAATAATAATAAGTCGATAAGTGATTCAATCGGACAAAATTCAGCTATTACAAGAGCTTACCTTGCTCTAGATATTGCCCTAGTATTAAATTGCAGCTGCAATGCAGTGTAATAACCATATTTTAACATTTTTTAAGGTTATCGTAACACCGCAAACTATTTGTAACATAAAAAAATAGTTATTTTAAGAAATAAATCACATCATAATATCTGCAACATCCACAACTGCAATGCTACAACTGCAACGGCGACTACAACCACATTTTAGTATTATAGATACTGCATGGTCTGCATGTTCTTAGGAGAAGAAGATGAGTTTCAATTCATCTCTTCCTCTCTCATATCTAATATAAATATTTACCCACCTGAATCCTTAGAAGAATTCCTCCTCATGCTAATTTAAACACTAGTTATAGAAACCAATATGAAATCTACACTAAGGTATCAAAGGAAGAAATACTGGCGGCAAGCAGGGCGGATACATTTGGCCCATTAAATGATTAAATACATACTCATTATTTTGGACGAGTTCTGAAATATATCTTAATATATTAAGAGAATGAGAAAAAAAATATATACCTATTTCGTTAGAAAAAAACATTAAAATTTTTAGACCTCATTTTAAATTTCTAAATCCGTCACTTACTACAAGATGAACTCCAAAGAGAAGAAGAAAGCTTGCAAATCTTTTTCTCTTTCCTCACAATGGCAAAACCGTGGGTTCACCCCCACAAATTACCTAATTTGTGAAATTTCTTTAATTTAGAAATTAACACAAATTCTGAGCAATTACCACCTAGACTAGTGACTAAAAATTCAAGATTAAAAGGTGAATTTATCATGCAAACATTGATGTTTAGCAACATTTACAAAATAGGCACAAGCTCATTTCACATTTCATTCTATTGAAAACATTTTGATGTTTCGATATAAAAAATTAAGTGTTATTAAATTTTAAGATTTTATAATCATTTTTAAAGTATATTCGAATAAATTATTCGAATATCAAAAATAATACTCCAAGTTTTTTAAAGGTCAATTTCATTCATTACTAAAGTGTAAAATTGTATTTTAAACTTAAAATATTTTTGAAACAATTTTTACAAAGTATTTTGAACCAAAATCGAGCCAAAAATCAATTTTATATAGGGATGTACCGATGCACTATTTGATGTATCGATGCACACCCTATTTCGAATGCTTTTTGTGTACCGATGCACAACCATGCATCGATGCACTCCTGGTTTTATTGAAACATCGAATGCATTTTATGTACCGATGCACAGACCATGCATTGATACACTCCTGGCTCTTTTGAAGCATCGAATGTAATTAGTGTACCGATGCACCCCAAGTGTACCGATGTACTAAGTCTTATAACGGTCGAAATATTTGAATTTTACACATAGTGCACCAATGCACCCTTATGTGTGTACTGATGCACATACGCTCCCAACCAGATTTTTAAATGATAATTACACAATAACAGTTCTATTGACTTCACCAATGATCCCCAACATTCAGAAGTGATCCAAGGTGTATTTAAACAAGCTGAGAAGTCATTGATCAACAACAAGAAACAACAATTGAGAGAGAAACAAAGAGAAAGCTTTAAACATCAAGTTTGAGCAAATTCAAGCATATTTTCCATTCAATATTCATTTTGATTTCAAGAACACCCTTTGTACTCAATTGTATTGTTTTTGAGTGTTCTTTCTTTGTTCTAGAATTGTGCAAACAATTTACCTTGTGAGGTTTTTCTGTAAGTTTGCGAAATTTGTATTCTTCTCTTTGGGAGAGAGTGTTCTCAAGAATTTGGGGTATAATTCTTGAGGGAGTTGTAAGGTTACTCTTTGTCCTCAAAAGAAAGAACAAGTTAGTGAATTTGTTGAAAAATCCTTAGTGTGGATAGCTAATGTAGTGGACGTAGACTTTGGTTGAGAAAGTCGAACCACTCTAAATCGTTGTGCAAATATTTTCAATTTTCTGCAAAAGCTTCCACCAAAATTTTAATTGCCAATTCACCCCCCTCTTGGCCGATTCATCGATCGATTAACTCAACAATTGGTATCAGAGCCTCACTCATTTGAAGGTTTAATCGCCTCTTGAGTCGATTCGGGAAGATTATATAGATATTCAAGTCATCAATGGCTTCCACTTCGAACGTCGACTTCGGTCTTGATTCAATGCCTGTCAACAAGCCTCCTTTCTTCAATGGAGCTAATTATGCTTATTGGAAGAATAGAATGAGGTATTTCATTCAATCAAGTGACATGGGAGCATGGAATATCATAGAAGACGGATACATCCTACCTTCCATTGATTCAAGATTGTGGAGTGAAGGAGATACAAGAATGTTCCAGCTCAACTCAAAGGCTATCCATATTATTTTTTGTGCTCTTGGACCAGATGAATACGGGAGAGTTTCATCTTGTACAAACGCCAAGTAGATATGGGATAAACTACAAGTCACTCATGAAGGCAAAACGAGGTAAAAGAATCTAAAATTAGTCTTCTAACTCATAGCTATGAAAATTTCAGGATTAAACCAAATGAAGATATCAAAGCTATGACGGATAGATTTTTCACGATACCAATTGTCTCAAATCATATGGAGAGATCATTCCAAACGAGAAGCTTGTGAGGAAGTTAGTTTACTCTCTTCTAAAATCTTGGCAATCAAAGAATATGACGATCATCGAGTCTAAAAACCTAAAATATTTGACCCTCGATGACCTTATAGGTTCTCTCCTCACGCATGAAATGATGCTTCCATATAAGGTAGACCTCAAGAAAATAGATGAGCCAAATAAGGATAAGGAGAAGAAGAAAAATTCTGGAATTGCTCTCAAATCCACAAAAGATGTGAGTGATTTGGATGAAGATGACGATGATGTGGAAATGACATTATTTGCCAAACAGTTCAGAAAATTAATGAAGCCCAACAGAGGAAGAAAATTCAAAAGAAATGAAGGCTTCAAAAATGAACCAAAGGAGAAAGACCCGATCATTTGCTACGAATGCAAAAAGCCAGGGCATGTCAAATACGATTCTCCACAATTAAAGAAAAAGGGTAAATCCAGGAAGAAGCATAAGGCACACGTGGCTACATGGAGCGATGATGAAGCTTCCGTTGAAGAGAAACAAAAAGTATCAAACTTGTGCTTGATGGCTTTCAGGGAGGATTCTCAGGTAACCTCTAGCTCATTTAATTTCAAAGATTATTAATTTGATGAGCTATTAGAGAAATATACTGGGTTGGCTTCGGATTATGAGAAATTATTTTTAAAATACAAAAATGATATTTCAAAATTGAAAAACGAAAATAATCTCATATCCAAAACCAACATTGATCTTGAAAGTAAGGTCAAACAATTGCAAATCAAATTAGATGAATTTGAAAAGAAAAATACTGATTTGCATAACCTACTTTCAAGAGTGAATGATGATCATCAAAAGAAAATTGACGATCTTAAAGTTTCTTTTGATAAATTTGGAACAAAACGTTCTGAAAATGGAGAAAGTTCAAAATCCAACTTTGTTAGAAAAAGTTTTAAAAACTACAATTATAGAGGTCTCCGAAGAACCTCTAATGGAAAAATCGTTAAAAGTATATGGGTTCCTAAATAACTCATTACTACTAAAGATAAGGATATCCTACACAAGTGGATACCCAAGGGGACTTGAATTTTAGAAACTAATGAATATGGACCCAAAAAGAAATTGGGTACCAAAAATAAAAAATTAATCTATGTTTGTAGGGAAATGAACATTGCTACAAGGCACGAGAAATAAGTTCAAACTCATGGTACCTTGATAGTGGATGCTCAAGACATATGACCGGAGACAAGAGCCGGTTCATCGAGCTTAATGACAAAAATGGAGGTGAGGTGACTTTTGGTGAAATTCAAAAGGTCACATTGAAGGTATAGGTACTATAGGTAATACCTCTTCCATACAAATTAAAGATGTTTTATATGTGAATGGATTAAAGCATAATCTATTGAGTATTAGTCAATTTTGCGATAAAGGATACAATGTATTATTTGAAACAAATGGTTGTAAAATTGTTGACATTGCTTCTAATCGGATTATGCTTGTTGGTCATAGAATATGAAACATTTACCAGGTGCATCTAGATTCAATAAATATGACTAATTTATGCCTAGTTGCTAAGGATAAACATGATAGTTGGTTATGGCATAGGAGACTAGGACATACTAGAATGAGTGTTTTACAAAGACTAATTCAAGGAGATTTAGTAAGAGGATTGCCAAAGCTAGAATTTGATAAAGATAAAATATGTGATGCTTGTGCTAAAGGAAAACATCAAAGAGCTTCCTTTAAGTACATTAATGATGTATTAACCAATAGAGTATTACAATTGATCTATATAGATATTTTTGGGCCAATTAGGACTATTAGCTTGGGTGGAAAACAATATTGTTTTGTATTGGTAGATGACTATTCTAGATATACTTGGGTTCTATTTTTAAGTACTAAAGATGAAGCATTAGAAAAATTGATCACGTTTTCAAAAGTAATCCAAAATGAAAAAGGTTACTCCATAACTAGTGTTAGGAGTGATCATGGTACTGAATTTGAAAATCTTGGATTTACTGATTTTTGTAATTCTAATGGTATTAGCCATAAGTTTTCAGTACCAAGAACCCCTCAACAAAATGGAGTTGTTAAGAGGAAAAATTGAACTTTAGAAGAAATGGTTAGAACCATGCTTTGTGAAAACAATTTGCCAAAATATTTTTGGGCTGGAGCCACAAATACCGCTTGTTATGTTATAAATAGAGTAATGGTTAGGCCAATTTTAAAGAAAACTCCATATGAACTTTTCAAAAATAAAAAGCCTTGAATTTCAAAGTAATGATTAGGTTTTTCTGTAAATTTGCGAAATTTGTAGTCTTCTCTTTGGGAGAGTGTTCTCAAGAATTTGGGGTATAATTCTTGATGGAGTTATAAGGTTACTCTTTGTCCTCAAAAGAAAGAACAAATTAGTGAATTTGTTGGAAAATCCTTAGTGTGGATAGCTAAGGTAGTGGACGTAGACTTTGGTTGAGAAAGTTGAACTACTCTAAATCGTTGTGCAAATATTTTCAATTTTATGCAAAATTTTCCACATATATTTTAATTGTCAATTCACCCATTCTTAGCCGATTCATCGATCGATTAACTCAACACATTCAACTTAAGTCTCTTGCTCTCAATTAACCATAATTCCTTCAACTTCCACCTATTGAATTTGAATCTCACTTATATTAAATAATTCATAGATTAAAGTGTAATATCCCAAATTTAGGATTAGTGACTGAAAATTAAATTTTGAAAGTTTAGAGACCAAAGTGTAAATTTGTAAAAGTTTAGGGACTAAAAATATAAATATTCAAAAGTTATGTTTTGAGTATGTAATTGAGCAGTTCAACCCAATAATATAATTTTAGTGGGTTTTAGAATTTCGATTTGAAATTTGTATAAAAGTTTATTGAGTGATAAAGATCGATAAAAAATTCGAATAACAGGATCGAATCGGAAGTCTGCAAAAATTTGAAGGAAGTTAGTTTAGGGCTAGAAATATTATATTGATATTTTTAATTAGTGGAATTTGATTTGAATTAGTGAAACTTGGAGGAATTTCCATGATAAAGTGGAATAATGAAATTTAGTAACTAAATTGAACTTTTGGAAAATTAGAAGGGCAAAGGTGGAAATTGATACATTATATTTTTTATATTTATTTAATGTTATAAAAATGGAGATAAAATGATGGCATGGTGATAATTATTAAGATTTATTCAGGGTAATTTTGACTTTTGGGCTAAAATAAATTTTAGTTCATTTTAAATTGGGGTTTTAAAGAGATATTTTTCAAGAAAACTCAAGAAATCTCCTCTTCTCCAGCAACCTGCCATGACTCCATAGCCAAGGTGAGCAAGTTTTTATTTTACATTTTTGTTCCATTTTAGTGAGAATTTGGATTAAAGTGTGAAATAAGAAAATGTTCTACACATAATTCTCTACAAATTGGTACAAGTATTTCATTGTTTTATGCTTAAATGGTGAAGTGGGTATTTATGGTGGACGTAGGGGAAGTTATATTTGGTTGAAATAAGCTTGAATTTTTATCCTAGGAGTGTTATGTAAGTATAAACAAACATGGAATTGATTGAAAATGGTCATGAAGATTTGTTTGAAATTTTCGGCCATTATGAGGTATTGGGGAGAAATATTGAATTTGGTTTAGGTTGATATTTGATTGATTCGGAATGGTTGGACTTGATTAGAAATGAATTTTGGATGATGATTTAAACTTGAAAACAAATTGGAGACCATTAGGGGACTAATTTGTAATTTTGGCCATTAGGAGGAATACTTGGAAAATTTTAATAAAAATGTCCTAGGGATTAGACTGAATTTAAGAATGATTTTTAATGCCTTAGAATTGAGTTTAGATCAATTTAGAACCTCGGGATAACAAAAGGACTATCGGGAATTATGAAACATTGAAATGAAAATTTTCAATTATAAGTATTCAAGCTTGAAATTTAATATTTGGGTGTTGAATTTTAAGTTGGATTGTTGATTTAGGATCAAAGTGCAAATATGGTAAAATGTGATAGGTAAATTCGAATGGAATAGGAAATAAGGAATTGAATTGTAATTATATAAATGTTAAGGTATTGAATTGAATATATTTTTACAATGCTGGAATATTTGGGATTGATTTGAATAAGTAAAAATAATGAAGGACCAAGATACAAGTTGTAAGAATTGATGAAGAAATTAAGGATGCAAAATAATGAAAACTGTTTAGACTTATGAATCTGACAGTGAGTTTGAAAAATCACCATAAATTCTATAAAAATTATTAGCAGGTTATTGTTATACCATTGTGTTCTTATGTCAATCTAGTTTTGTTTAAAACAAACGGAGATCGATTTCAATTTGTATAATGGAAGATACGATATTTTTTATTGATGATAGGTCAGAAAATAGGGCAGTAGATTCTGCTCAAAATATATTCTGGAAATTGGATTAGAAAATTCACTATAAATTGTACAAGTTGAATTAGAAAGATTACTTTATATGATTAGATCCATATTCGAGTCTTATTTCATACGGAGGAAACGAAATTAAATTCTAGTGAGTAGAATAATACAGAAAAATGGTTCTTTAAAGGTAGTGCAAGTTGTCAAGAATATGAAAATTTTAGAATTTAAGTGGAAATAGATTAGAAGTCAAAGAGTAATGTTTAAATGTTTGATTTGAATGTTTAAGTATATTTTTGGATACTTGTAATTGAAGTTATATGGTAAAGGACTATTTGCAATAAATTGGAAATGTTGAGAAGAATTTTAAAAGAATTTATTTATTATGGTTGGCATTGACGTTTTGAAATGGATTTAGTATCGAATAAATGTTGACATAATTTTTATGAATTTTATTAATAGATTGTGTCTATGTTAGTAAGATACTAATATGTGCTTTGGAATGTATGTGATATATTAATGATGAACATGAAGATTGAGATCAAAGAAAGCTAGAATCGCTAAGTAAGGCATTTCCAGGTGAGTGCTTTCATATTGTCCAATGCATTTTTATTTTATATTTTGATATATTCATATTTAGGATTATTTTGAAGTTAAAATGATACATGAATATGACGGAAAAGCCCATTGTATATGTATTGAGAAATTTTATTGTATGATACTTAATTTAGTTAATATGTAAAAAGATTATGATGAGTTAATGATGATTAATATTTGATTATGATGATGTTAGAAAAGACAAGGATAAGTGAAAGATAAATGATTTAAAGAAAAAACCCATTATAAATGCATTGAGAATCATAGGTACAAAGTTAGAGTATTATTTGTGCAATTCTACGAGGCACTTTGTGTGCATATTCTACGAGGCATTTTGTGAGAAATTCTACGAGACACTTTGTGTGTAATTCTACGAGGCACTTTGTGTGCATATTCTATGAGGCACTTTGTGTGCATATTCTACGAGGCACTTTGTGTGCATATTCTACGTGGAACATTGATGTTGTGTTCTACAACACTTGCACATTTTAAGTGAATGCTCGTTTGACTAGTATACCTTGCATTCTCAATGGTTTACATTGGGCTATAAAACGGAAAAAAAAAATAATATATGTTAAGAAATGAATCAAACAAATGATACATGTTACGAAATAAATGGAGTGAGTGCAACATACCATAAAATGAATAAAGTGAGAAGTTTAACTAAAGTAATATAAGAATGAAATAGTTTGTTCAATCTGATATGAAAGTAAAGTCTTTTGAAAACTCTGCCTTGACTTAAAATGTTTCATGAAGAATCTTCAAATCATAGATGTTTTTATATTTTATGCTTAAGTGGTACTTTTATAAATATGTTTTATTAGTGCTATTAATTTTATTTATATTATTATTATTATTATTATGTTATTAATAATAGAACTTATAGCCACACTAAGTGTATACTTAACGTGTGATGATTTTCACACGTAGGAAAAGAATAGCGTTCAGAGTAAGGAGCTAGGCCCAACATAAACCTTTGAAGATCATATCCACTCCAGAATCAATATGACATCTTTTTGAACATTAGTAGTACTAGTTGGCATGTGTACTAAATGATTATGATACCTAAAAGTAGTTTTGTTCCAATTTGGTTTATTTAGATTGTACATAATATTACTAATTATTAATAATGGTTTGTCGATTAGTATTTAGATAAGTGAATTTAATTATCACTGAATTGAAATATTTTAAGACCTTAGACAATAATTGAATTAATTTAGAAAGAAACAAAATTTTATTGATTCTCAAAAATGAACTATACTGAAAGAATTATGTAACATCCTGGACTCGTATACGATAACGTATATGAGAAATGGGTGTTACATAAAGTATCAACGAAAAATATTTTTTTGATCAACAAAAGTTAAAAAATATTAATCAAATTTTAAGAATGTTACAGGCCCACTATGCGACAATTGTCTCCAAGTTGACATGACATGTCCTACACTGATGGAATGTTGATGCTCCAGCACAAAGGCCGACATTGCTAAACTGTAATATGAAATGGAAAGGAGAAAGGAAATAGACAATGGAAAATAAACAAAGAGTATTAAGTTTTTTCACTAACTATAGAAAATGACTTACAATGATATTCAACACATTACAATGATTGGGTATTTATAACCTAATATTAACACCCTAACAAATCTAACAAATTCCTAACTAATTGCCAACTAACATCAACTACTTAACAGTCTAACATTCCCCCAACTTCTTCGACCTTCTTGACCTAAAGATGAACACTTGAATCGAAAGTGTGATGCCTCCTTCCATTCGACTTGAATCGAAAGTGACGATACTTCCTCCCTTTTGAATTGAATCGAAAGTGCTGATGCTTCCTTTCGTTCGACTTGAATCGAAAGTGTAGATGCTTCATTTCGTTCTTCTTATTCACCTTCATTTCTTTCTTCTTCGTCCTCTTATACAAGGTTCATTGACATTGTTTTTCATAGACACTTGGCTGTGAAGCTTTCAAGTCCCATGACACTTTGAGATAGAATCAACAAATCATGACGATACATAATCCAAAATAACCAGCAATGCAACAGCGTGCAACACATCCACAAGAAACTAATACAACAAAATTTGTTTCCAAAGGCAGCAAGAAATTGAACTCCCGGTAAACTCTAACTGTAAACAAACTATTCAAAAAACTCTAACAATTTACCATACCATTAGATTTCAAGAGTGACCCTGCTCCATGTGGTCCATTGTGATCAATCCTATTGACCGCAATTAGAAGCAGACGTTATATACTAATGCTGATTCAGGGCTCCATCAAACCTCAATGAGGCTGTAAGAGATGAGATAACCTGAGGTGAATGATAGACAGTGAACCCAAGCTTCGACTTCTTTCCATAGTTAACAACGAGACGCTCAAAGAGAAGAGATCCAAGTCCAGAGCCAGTACCACTACCAACAGCATTGAAAACCAAGAAGCCTTGGAGGCCAGTGCAATTATCAGCAAGCTTTCGGATGTGATCCAAATAGACATCAACAATCTCTTTGCCAATTGTATAATGACCACAATCGAAATTGTTGGCAGTATCTTCTTTGCCACTGATGAGTTGCTCAGGGTGGAAGAGCTGGCGGTAGGTTCCGGTCCTTACTTCATCAATAACAGTCGGTTCCAGATTCACAAATATAGCGCGAGGGACATGCTTCCCAGCACCAGTTTTGCTGAAAAAGGTGTTGAAAACGTCATCTCCTCCACCAACAGTCTTATCGCTTGGCATTTGGCCATCAGGCTCAATTCCATGCTCGAGGCAGTAAAGTTCCCACCAAGCATTTCCGATCTGAATATCGACCTGACCGATGTGAACTGAGATGCATTCTCTTATTTTTCTTCTTCTTAAAGATTCAATGTCCAGAAGGAAACTCTAAAAGGAATGGAAACAAAAAATTGCTAGAAAATATAAGAAGAACAAGGAAGGGCAGGCGTGTATCCGTTCAACTGAAACAAATCAGATACCAGCAACATCATTGAAACATTTGGTCGAACATATTATCAACACCAGTAAACTTAACGAATCAGAATTCAGAACACTCTATCAACACCAGCAACTACTGATACAACTCCAAACGTGGGACACGAATCACCAAAGTAAATGAAAACTGAATCCAATGTTAAAGCACACTAAGGTTCCAAGAATGACTACAACCTGCGATTCAATTTCTTTCATACCAGAAATAGAGTTAGAAGATGAATTGAGAAGATTCCCAGTAACTATGATGAGTTGATGAAGACAACAATAAACCACATGCACCGTAGCAGAAGCAACAAAATAATAACAACAAAACTGGAGATCGGAAAAATCTACAAACTCTGCACTAGCAACGGCGTGAGAGTAAAGGAACTCAATCATCGACGCAATGGCGGAAAAGAAAACAACGCCATGATATTTTAGCGAATGATACCATGATGGAATGTTGATGCTCCGGCACAAAGGCCGGCATTGCTAAACTGCAATATGAAATGGAAAAAAGAAAGGAAATAGATAATGGAAAACAAACAGAGAGTATTAAGTTTTTTCACTAACTGTAGAAAATGGCTTACAATGATATTCAACACATTACAATGATTGGTTATTTATAACATAATATTAACACCCTAACAAATCTAACAAATTCTTAACTAATTGCCAACTAACATCAACTACTTAACAGTCTAACATACACTAGTCTCATCTTGGAGATAGTTGTACACAAGGTAGAGTCCCCAACTGGGTCTATGATGGAACAAAGCGATAAACTGGAGGAGATGGTCGGGTGGAAACATCCTCCTATGGGTTGGCTGAAAGAAAATGTTGATAAAGTTGTGCGAGTAAGTGATGAAGCTGCTTCGTGCAGTTGAGTCATTGGTGAAGAAAAAGGTACATGGTTATTTGGATTTTCAAGAAATTTAGGAAAATTGATCTATACTCTTGACGAAAATATGGGTTGTACATGATGTTTTAAAGCATACATGACGTCTGGGATGTAGAAAAGTGAAATTAAAGACCGGTTCACTTGAGGTATATAGTATCTTAACACAAGATTCTACGTTAATACAAGACAATACGATCATTGAGGTCAACTACGATCTAATGCGACAGGATTGGGTTGTGATGCTAAGACATATAAGGCGTGCTCGTAACAGTGTAGTTGATATGCTTGCAACTATTAGTCGTGACAGACCAATAGGATAAATTTTGTTTGATTCCCTTCCAAGTACAATGACGAATTTGCTAAAGAATAAAGAATTATTATGTATTATCAAAAGAATTATCATTATAATATAATTTGTCGTAACTGTCTTTTAGGTGGTCCCAGAATCGGGTTTTGACTTAATTTGATGTGTTATGGAGCCACGGCCACCATCGATCATTTTAAATTAGGTTGTTTGGACACCTTAATTGCGAAAATTAGAAGTTAAAATTAAAATTTAAACATTTGATCTGAATTACTTACCTTACACCGATTCAAAATTGCCCTAAAAAGGTTGAATTAATGTTAAATAATAAAATAAAACAAAACAAAAAGTAATAAAATATAAAAACATTGAAAAAGGATCAAATTGAAAAGAATTAAAAATTAAGGGTCAAATTGATGTTAATTGCAAGCTATAAGGAAAATATAAAACGTTAGGGGGTCAATTTGTAAATTATAAGAAATATAAATTGGGATTAATTGAATTAATTCAAAATTTAAGGATAAAATTACAATAGGTGACCAAGATGAATTACACATCAAAACCACAGGGATTGCGAAAATAATTTAACTATTTCATAATTGCACTAAGGTCCTCCCTATAAATAGTCCAAAACAAAAAAAACTCATTTCACTCATGTCTCAAAAAAGCTTCTAAAAAAACTATCTCAAGTACTCTCCTTCCCCACCTAGCCGGCCACCCGCCGGCACCTAGAGAGCATCGTCGCCCGCCGCTCCGGTCACCACCACCGGTGGCTGAAAAACTCAAACCTACCCCCCGAATCTTCCTCTCAACTCCCCAAAACCAAATCCATCATCAAAATATCTGAAAATCTCCCTGTTGGCGTAGATCTACGCTAAAAGTTTAGGCATTTGCCTTTTCCGACGATGACTCTTCGAGTCTCGGTGATGACCTTCCTCTGAGTCAAAAACCGACGCTAGCTTTGATATTTTTTTGTGATCCTCGTCGCTATTTTCGAATTTTTTTGCTGGATTTTTTACTCGTTGTTTTGCTTGGTTTCTCTGTTGATTTTATTGGTATACTGCTTGGGTTTTTCCATGTGTTTTGTTGGCTTCTCAGGGTGGTATTTATATAGGCCCCCGCCGGGGGTGTTTTCGATCATCTCGGGGGTCGTTTTCCCCATTTTTCAATTTATTCAAGCTTGAGGAAGTTGTTGTTTTGATTCCACTCCGATTTTGCTTCGGTTTGTTATTGCTTGTTGTTGGCCGAAAATCACAGGACATATTCGCTCTAATTTGCTTCGCCGGCCATTACACGTTGGCTAGCCACCAGGCTTACAACACCTTTGCTAAAGTGTGTAACCCTATCCCCTGCTGGGTCAGGCAAACGGGCTTGGGCCTTACCAGGCTTGCTGGGTCAGGCTTGCTTCGGTTGGGCTTTACTCTGGACCGGTTGGACTTGGACTTTACCTTTGACTTGGACATGTATTTGGACTGTGGGATGGACTTTGTTGGACTTTTATTTGGACTGAATTTGGACCAACAAATAAACCGAAAAATAATATTAATATTAATAATAATAATATAATATAATATAATATAATATAATATAATATAATATAATATAATATAATATATATATAAATATAATATAATATAATATATATAATATATATAATATAATATAATATAATATAATATAATATAATATAATATAATATAATATAATATAATATAATATAATATAATATAATATAATATAATATAATATAATATAATATAATATAATATAATATAATATAATATAATATAATATTATAAATAATATATATATATATATATATATATATATATATATAATACGTACACTATATTTATTTTAAAAACTATATAACATATATTATATTTTTAAAAACTATATAATATGATTTCAAAAATTATATATATTATATATGTTTTTAAAACTATTTTCAGAAGTCATATATTTTATATGATTTCAAAACTATATAATATATTTTCAAAAATCATATATTTTAAAAAACAATATATTATATATTGTAACACCCCTAACCTGTATCTAACCCGGATATGTATCCTAGGTGTCACATTGACTTTTAAAAGTAGTTAAAAATTTAAACATTTATTTGTATTAAAATGGTGGAACCCTTTCATGAAAGTAAATATTGATAACTCAAGATCAAATAAAAATAAACACTTAATAATTTAAATAAATGTAAAAAAGTAAGTTTACAAAAAGTGATAAGAGCACATGCGATTTAAACATTTAGTTACATGCCAACAGCCTTTAGTACAACACAATGACATATTGTTTATAATGTTTCTGATCTGATATTTAGTAGAGATATAATGTCTTGACTTGTCCTAGGTTTGTTCTTCCGGCTTCTTTGAACCTACGTGTGAAACACTCACACGCTAAGTTTTTGACTTAGTGAGGCATAAAATGCATAAAAATAAATCATATTACATTTCACAAAACAAAAACGTGTATTATCATGCACTGTTCATTTATATCATTTCTTTTAATAGCCCATGGTACATCATTGAGAACTTAAGGTATGTGAGTGCATTGAGGTTGTGCACTGAGTTGCAGTCGAAACTGCCGCATAGAATTGCACCGAAGTACCGCGTAGAATATGCACCGAATGACCACATAGATATGTCTCTAAGGGCATTGTAAAAATGTCCCGAAGGACCGCGTAGAAATGTCCCAAAGGACCACGTAGAATTGTCCCGTAGATTGCGTAGAACCCTCGACTCTTGGCATGCCAATTATACCTTTAGCTCTCATATCACATACTTTTGGGCTTTACCATTTATACATATTCTCATAGCTTATATCACATGTTCATATAATGAAATAGATCACTATCACATATTATGAAATGTAAACAGTGCATATTCATGTAGTAATGGAATCATAACCATATTTATACTCATGTAAAATTTATTCAAAACATTTAATAAACATTGAAAATATTGTTTTAATCAAAACATTGGAAATAGACTCATCGCAAGTCTTCTTTCCATAAAACAATATATATATATATAGTAGTATGTACTCACCTTTTTGCCTCACTTAGTCAAATCACAATCCTTATCACTAATCAATCCTCAATAACTTAAGTTAAACGAAACATCTAATTCAAAATTTCAATCTAAATAGTATCGGTACCCTAGGCCCAGTACCGATACTTCCTCACTATGATATCAATAATATACTTCAGTATCGATACCCTATCTACAATTCGGAATTCGACTTCCAAAAATGGTGTCGATACTTGTACATTAGTATCGATACCAAAAGGTATCGATGCTACTCCTTCGATATCGATATTGTTTTACTAATTCACACAATTCTACCTTATAGTATCAATATTATTCTTCCAGTATCGATATTCCAATACAAATTTCTCTTAATTTTGCTTTGAATATCGATATTGTTCATCCAGTACCGATACCCTTACCCAGAATTTACCCATTCAACTCAAAAATTTACCAAAACTCACTTAAATCTCCCACTTTAATCTCCTTTCAAGCCTTTAAACTCAACTACACTTATTAAAACCAATTTATATCACTTTAACACACCTAAACATCCAAAATCCCACATAATCACTTGAAACCAAAAATCATCCCAATTAATCAAACTTATTTTCAATCACTTCTAATACTTCTAACTTTTTAATTAAACCATTGACAAGTCAAATTTATCCTTAGAAATCCAAATACTAAACCCTATCATCAAAACTCTTAAAAACTCCTTTAACTAATTCATCAATAATTCACCCATCTCTTAGTTTTAATCAACCTTAAGCTTTTTTAACCTTATATATTTCCCCAAAGACCAAAAACCAACTTAAAATTCAAGAAACAATCAACTTGTAAATCACTCACCTTGGAAATTGAGGTTCACGACTTAAAAAGGAAGAAAAAGAGAGATGAGCCAAACTTTTCCAGATTCTTCTTCTTTTATCCTCTTTCTAGGCTTAAATATCTTTTCAAATGAATTTTAAATTCATATAATGATAAAAGACCTTTTTGTCCTTCCATTTTTCCCTTTTTGCAATTAAGTCCTAAGCACAATTTCCAACAATTAGTCCTTGAACTTTTCAACTTATTCCAATTAAACTGCTAAATTTTAAATTCTTACATTTTGGTCACTAGCTCGGTGAAATTATTTTTTATATATTATATA